AAGTCAGACAATCAAAATGAAAAGATAAAAGGCGATCCATCTTGCAGAGTTCCTGCAGAGTCGCAACACACCTCCATCCCCTGGGAATCAGCCCCGGGTGTCACCGTGGGATCCCACGCCATCCTTGCCCCGGGCCTCCTGCTCCATGCACCCCAGGTGTGGCGCGTCCCAAGGGCAGGACAGCAACTGCCAGAGCACTGGGAACCTTTCTGTCTGTCATGGCCACCTTTCCTAGCCACGCCCAAAGGGTCCCCACTGAGTTGAGTAGGTCAACTCAAAGCAATGCCCAGTGCAGCTTGGTCTCGTTCCCCATGGGGCATGGCGTTCTTCTCCAGCGAGTCTCTACCCGCTAGCCTGCAAAGGAACCGGCAGCTTCCCGGGCCGGCTGGGTTCATTTCCCTGATTTCACGTATTGCATTTCTGTACCGCCCAGCACTCCGACACACCTCAGAGGGTGCTTTGCAGTGATTATGGCCTCAGGAATGCGTCGTGACAACCAGACATGGACCGACATGGCAACACACACAGAGGGACATGCGTTTGGAAAACAGGTTCAAACTATCGGGAAGAAAGCGTTTAGCACCAGATGAATGAGACAACACCTGGTGCTAAAGAGACAGCACCGTTGGTGCCCTGTTGGAGAGATCGAGAACTGGGGGGCCACCAACGAAAAGCCCCCCGCCCCCCGTCCTTGCTACCTTCCAAGCCTTCTGCGCCTTGCCTGGAGCAGGGCCGGGAGAAGAGGCTCAGGGGACGGACAAGTTCATACTGCAAGAGGCGCCCCCTCCGGTGTTCTGCATGAGAACCAGTAAGGGTCAGCCAGCACCACGGACTTGCAAGCCTCCAGACAACCAGTGCAGGTGGCCCGAAGCAGCGCCATCTATCGAGGAGCCGGGTCTTGTGGGGCACTTTGCACACGTTCGCACTCCTCTCTTCAGAGACAGCGCACGTGGCACACGCTGCACCGCGGTCGTCAGCACTTGAGAAGCACCCTGCCGGATCAGAGCCGGGGCCACCCAGCCCCACGCTCCGTGCGCACGGTCGCGAACCAGCTGCAAACCGGCAGGATGGGTGCGAGGCCTCCTCAGCAGCTGGCGCCCGCAGCCGTGCCGCCTCGGGTGAAGGAGGGAGCCCATGGCCAGCCAGGCTAGTAGCCACGGATCGCCGCCTCCCTCGTGCAGCTGCCAGGCCCTTTGAAAGCCGTCTGGACTGGCAGTCATCTCCACTTTCTGTGGCAGCAAATTCCACAGCTGAATTGCGGAAGGGAGGGCTTCCTTTTATCTGTCCTACCAATCAGCTTCATGGGATTACCCTGGGGTCAAGTGTTCTGGGAGAAAAAGGTCTCGCTCTCCTTTCCCCACACTGTGCATCATTTTAACCACCTCTGTCATGTCTTCCTTTCCTCGCCTCTTTTCGAAGCTTAGCCGTCACAGCGGTGGTAGCAGCTTCTCCGGCCCACTGATCATTTTGGTTGTTCTTTGCACTTTTTCCAACCCAGAGGTGTCCTTTTTCAGGCAAGGCAACCAGAACTGAGCACAACAGTCGAAGTGCAGTTGTGCTGAAGATTTGCAGAAGGGAAACATGATCTTGGCGGGCCCATTCTCTGCTCTGTTCTGATGCCCCGCATGGAACTTGCGCTCTGCACAGCAGCTGCCCCCACCTCCCCCCAGTTCCTTTCTTGCACAGTCAGTCGCTGCTACTTCAGATCCCACCAGCGCATACTTGAAACTGCACTTTCTTGTCCCAACGTGCCTTTCTTTCCATTTCATAGAATCATAGAACAGTAGAGTTGGGAGGGGCCATGAAGGCCATCCAGTCCACCCCCCTGCTGTTGCAGGACACCAAGTCACACCATCCCACTCAGGTGGCTGTCCAGTTTCACCTTGAATGCCTCTGCTGTGGGAGAGCCAACACCTCTCCAGGCAGCTGGTCCCACTGCCATATTGCTCTGGCAGTGAGGAAGCTTCTCCTGACGCCCAGCCTGAATCTGGGTTGCCGCAGCTTCTTGATTATTCTGTGCTCTATTCTCTGGTACAAGCTAAAAGAGATCTTGACCCTCCTCCTTGTGGCAGCCTTTGAGGTCCTTATAGAGGGATCTCATGTCCCCCCTCAGTCTTCTCAAGGCTGAACAGGCCCAGTTCCCTCAGTCTCTCCTCCCAGGACAGTGTTTCCAAACCCTGGGTCATTTCTGTCGCCTTCTGCTGGATTGAGCTGCATTTGCCCTTTCAGTGCCCAGCCTCACAGCTTGGGCAGATCCCTCCTGAGCGCCTCACAATCCCTTTTGGTTTTAACCACCCTAAAAAGTTTAGTGTCATGAGCAAACGGGGCTCCTTCGCAACTCGCTCAAGGAGAGGACACGCCGTTCCCCGGAACACATTTAGGCTTGTGCCAAGGAAACAGCCGTCTCTGGTGAAATCCGTGATTGTGATTGGAAAGCTCTTCCTTTGCCCCTTCGGCTCTCTTCCTGTGTGCACTTATTCAGCTGACGCAAGCCCCCCGGCGCTCCTCTCCCTGCTCCTTTGCACAAAAGCTGTTTTCAGGACATGGTGCAAGCCCCCAGGAACGGCTTTTGGTGGGCGGCTGCCCACCTGGACGGTGGGCGCCACCTAAGAGGTCTCGGAGCAGCCCTGATTAAAGGCCAGGAAAGCGGCAGATCAGAAACAGCTTCCTGAGCATGGGGTGCGAAAGCGTGCAGCCGGCACTGCCTGAGCCAGCGAAGACTGGGAGGCTGGTCAGCAGCCTCCGGGCAGAGTTGGATGCGCAGCAATGCACAGCCAGCCCGGAAGCTGCAGGCCGCTTGGAAACGGTGGTGGGTCATGCGGGCGCTCAGTTTTTACTCTTCCGGGGGGGGGGGGTATCGGAAGAGGAATTGCTCCGTGGCACGAGATGGGATGACACGATGCTGGGAACGGAATTTGGTGGGCAACCCTGGCCAGAGAAGAGTTGGGTGACCGAAGACTCCCAGGGTGTCACTGAGGTCTGCTTTTGAAACACGGGCTTTGTGATACTCCCTGCAAATACATGCGGGATATTGTGGCTTCCTCCCAGGCTTTGTTTCAGTCCAGACCAAAGATGGGCTTATGCTCTCCTCCTCCCCAGCGCCACTTCCCCCAGCGCTGCCTCACCCACATCCCTGCAACCCCTTTCTTCTTCCAACCCTTCTCCGCTTGCAGAGTGGAAAAATCCGCACTATTAGCACCCACACAGCACCCAGAACCCGGTAAATGCTGCGATCGGCATTTCCACACACACTGTTAGCAAAGTGTACTCCTCAAAAAGTAGGTGTAAAAGGCATCTAGTTCAGAGAATAATGCTTTACCTTAGTGGAAATGTAAGTTGTTTGGAAAGTGTATAGTGCTCACCGATTTTATTGAAACATGTGTATGAAATGCCTGTATTTTGAGAAGAATGTACAAAAATGTACATTAATTTTCCAGCAGACTTGTGGGGGGAAATACCCATAAATGATCTGGAAGGGGATGAAGCTCACTTAATGCAGGAAAAATGAGGAATTGAGCCGAATCCAATCTGGCAGATCGCTCCATCCCTAATGTCCCCCATTGTGGGGTTCAGATAAGTTCAGGTTGGCTGCGATTCCAAACTTATGGTAAGAAATGGCCCGGCTTAAGTGGAGGAGTAACTGGGGGGAACTCCACTGAACGTACAAGCTTTCTAGAGAACCCCCACCTCATCAGGTTATGCAAATTATGCACGGTAATTATGCACCACAGGTACAATCGTGGCAAGTCTTTCATAATCTGAAGGACTCTCTGCTGAAACAGGAGGGAAAGATGCCTGGATGGAAGACGAGCTGGAGGGGTGGGCAAGCAAGAGGCAGTCCACCCGCTTATGGGGAGTAGCTAATGCTATACAGAAGACGTCACATGCATTGCATAAAACCACAGTGGCAAACAAAACCTGTTGCTGCTGTTATGTGCAAATTGTCTCTGTGAATGGAAGCCCCCCCCCCCCCCCCAATGACAGCTCCATTCAGCTCTCCCAAATTCGGGGCAGTGGCTTCTTTTGTGCAGTCACTCCATCCCACATTTGGTCTTCCTTCTCTTTTTCGGCTTCCACTTTCCCATCATGGTTGTCATCTCCTGTGAGCCTTGCCTTTTAGGATGAAGTCTGGCAGCTTCTGCCTTGCCATGCTCGCTTCTAGGGCCAGTCCTGGCTTGATCTGGGCTCAGAGCCCTTGTCCAGGGGATCCGATCGCCAGCACCGTGTTTCAAATGCACCCATGGCTCTCCTGCCCGCTTCCTTCACTGCCCAGCTTCCACACTCTAACCCTATAAGCTCCTGGTCGCCATGCAACGCACAGTAAGTGCCGCCCAGACCTCCTCAGCAGGGCGCACCTGGAGTGCAAGAGCTGCAACGCCACGAACAACCAAATCTGACGGTTGCTTGGAGTAAAGCATAAATAGCGTGGAAAGTTGTGCCGGGTTTTGATCGTTCCCTCTCTCCTCATCCGGATGAACATGAGGGCCGCAGCAAAGGCTTTCCACGGGCACCTGGGACTTCTGCTTTCGTTTTGCCCTCTTTGCTTCCGCAACCCAATGGACTCCTTTTCCCAGGTGAACCTGCAACTCAGGCGAATCGGCAAGAGCCGTTTCCCCCTCACAGGGCAAAAAGGGGCACCAGAGCCCGTGGAGCATCCGGCGAGGGTAAGAAGCGTGGCAGGGGCGTGCACTTCTTGCACACTTGGTGGCCATCCCACCTGGTGCCCGGCACCATGCGACCCCCTCTTTGCAGAGGAGGCAAGCAGGAAGGAAGGACAGGGCCCGCGCGGGGGTCGTTCCCCGAGGGGGGAGCGTTTGCCAACTGTTTGCGGCTGAGCAGCTTGTTTTCTGGACTGCATTTACTCAAGCCGCCTGGAGAAATTTTGATCAATAAAATAAATATCCTGGACAAACAATCAGCTTGTTCAGTGTTTGAGAGCAGTACAGAGAAGAGCAGGGCTTGGAGTGTTGGATTTTCTTATGGGTACTGTTTGTCTGACCATGAGCACCTCCGAGAGTCAGAGGGCCCGATCCTGGGGCTGCATCCGTCTTGACCCGCATTCCGGGCACTCGGCCGACCGGCTGCCCCAGTGCGAAGCCCGCAGGCAGCACAGTGCGGCGACAGCGTCCTCCTGCCTATGTTCCCCGGCAATGGCGCCTTAAGGGACTGGAGCTGGCATGGAGTCACGGGGCCTGGTTAGGCGTTGGTAGCATTTTACCCTGCTCTTCATCCACCCCCGCTTCAAATGGTAAGGCTCCCAGAGAGGGATAAAAATGGCAGAGGAAGACCAAGAAGACGGACCCTCCCTTCTGGCTTACAGTCGAGAATATCTGAAACTAAAGGAAAAGGGATTGCGGGGAGGAGGAAAACTCCGGACTTGGGCATCCGGTCATAGTTCCCAAGTTCTTCTAGGCGGCCCCCCCCGGGATTAATAATTATTAAAAATAATTAATAATGATTAATAACAGATAATTCATCTCGCTCTTCCCTGGAGGTTTCCAAGGAAACATCTGCCACGGATGATCTAGGTGCCCATTATCCTCTCAAGAGGCCACCCTGCCTTCCAGGCCTAGTGGAATTCTCCCACTGACAGTAGAATAAGCCAAGTTCTGGAGGCAGAGGGTCCCATTTTGGGGCATCCCAAATCCAGAAGGGACCTGCTTGGCCCTCCATGGCTTGCTGAACTACAACACCCATCCTCTCAGCCCTCCAGTGCCGCACGTCTGTCTAGGGTTCGGCTCTGTGAGGCCTTCAGGTGTGAATGGTTTCTCCCCTGCATTCCCATCTGCTTGACAGGCATTTGTTTGTGAGCTATTAATACCCAATGGGACATCTCCGTTTAGACCGAGCGCGGCTGATTGAAGGACGCAATCTGCATGCAATTAAAGGGGGTTAATGAAGGTGATTGCTTATTAATAATTCTAACTCTTCCTTGGAGGTTGGGAGAGCAGTTGGGGCGACTCAGGCCCGCCCACGCACAGCTGTTCCTGGGAGTCAAGGGGCTGGGTTGCATTTGGTTGATGGGTCCGCAGAACCCCTTCCAACCTCAGATAACCCATCCCCTACTCCGCTAAAATGCCATCAGTCGCAACAGAGATGGTGGGGGGGGGAGAAGGGGGACTTGCGAGCCCCCCACCGTCACGCTGGCAGAGGCTCTGGAATCCAGCGCCCGTGTCCACAGCCCTTTCTTTGTTTCAGGTGTGGGGAGACATGAGGGCGCAACCCCAGATCCCGCCGTTGGTGCCTGGCACAGAAGACACGTGGAATTGGGGATCTCCGTTCTGAGTGCCACTCACTATGAGGAGGCCTAATATAATTTAGGATGCAGATGGTTGCAGCTGTGTTGTACTACTGGTTACGAGTGGGGAATAGGCAGTTTATGGGGAGCTCTTGGGAAATGGACGGATACAGCGTCTTTGTTTATCAGGATTTACCCTTCCAGTTCAAACGCAATCTCTGACACCATCTGCAGCTCAAATCTGTATGTTTCTGAGATTGCATCCCCCCCCCGCCCCCTTTTGATCGCACATGTCAGTTTCCCAAAGGTGCATGAAAAAATGAATACTTTGGGAAAACTTGCTGAAAGATAAGTCGCAGGCAAGAATGCAGAGAGTGCTCGCTGGCTGACGGTTGCGATGAGCACAATTGTCCTGAATGCTGCATGTGGTTCATGGCTACCTGAACTATTCAACCCTTGCAGGTAGCCACATTGGCCAACTGGAGAAAGAGCAGATGTTGCCAAATGCTTTCGTGTCTTAGGCTCAGTCCAAACTTTACCGATCAAGGCCCACGGCTTCTCCAGGATCGTCATTCCGGGGTGTGTGGGTGGAAAAATGAAGCACCAGTTTCTTCCCAGAAGGAGCCCTTTGTTCCCTGCTCAAAATGGCACACCTGGGGCTCTTTCCCACTCCCAAAGCTATCAAATCGAACGCTCCGTCCTGACATGAACCCTGTGAGAAACGGAGCAAAGCTCAGGGAGCCAAGGTTTCGTTTGGATGCCAGGAAGCACTTCCTGGCAGTCGGGACCCCAAGGGTGTGGAATGGGCTTCCACGGGAGGTGGCTGAGGCCCCATCGGTGCAAATGTTCAAGGATAGGCTGGAGGTGCACATGGTGGGCATGTCGTGAGCGGAGCCAGCTGGAGCCGGGGGTCAGACTAGATGGCCCGGGAGGCCCCTTCTGACTCGCTCTGTTTCTATGTTTCTATGTTCAGCTTGCTTACCAGAAGGAAGAGGGTCCCTACGTGGTCTTTTTATCTGCAGGGCCAGAGGCTGCTTTCTGTTGCTGCTCTGAGTAGCAGTTGCTAGAGCCCCAGTTGGGTAGTAGTACCTAGTGGGTGGATGTCTGAATCAGGTAGAGCATCAGTGGTAGGGCAGCATGCCAACGTGTGTTTCGGCTAATGCAGGATGGTCAGGTTCCCTCTTTGAAGGGGGGCAGTCCTCGAATTGAAGGACAGCCTTCTATTTTGAAGGTGTCTCCTCTTCTCTGAAGGGCCGGCCAGTCCTACTTCATCTGGGAGACCAGCAGAAGGAACTGCTACAGGCCTCGACAGAGTCCATCCATCCCGGGCTGAGCAAAGCAGACCGGCTGCCTGGTTGTCATTTTTCACACTTTTGTGAGGTGCACAGGAGTTCTATTTCTCCGACAAGGTCCCTTCCTCCCCTGCCCTTTGTCTTTTATTTAGCCCCCAAGTCAGCTTTGTACATCACGAGCTACATGCACATCCAGGTGTATTTGGCGCTCGACTGAAATGTGCCTTTCTCAACCCCAATCGCGGCATCTATCATTAAATTAAATCTCAAACAGATTAAGTAGCACAAAGCATCCAATTTTACATATCTTCACGCCAATAACGGAAGCAACAACAAAGCAGGAATCTATGTTAATTTCCACCCGGGATGATTCTCTAGTACTCAGGAAAGGGCTCCATTTCTCCAGCAATGCGGGGTTCTTTCTCCCCGTCGAACCGCCGCGCTGATACGGGCTCCCTTGTTCGACGGCCGCGCGGCGCGTCAATGCACGCGTGCAGGCTTCCGACGAGCAGCGTCCTCTCGCCTTGCTTTTCCCCCTGGCCGCGCGCGGTGCTGAAGCGGCCGCCGGGCCGGGCCAGAGGCCTTGGGCAGCCCCGGCGGCCCGTCCGTCCGTCCGTCCGTCCGTCCGTCCGTCTAACGGCTTCTCCCTCCCGTCCTGTTTTCCAGCTCAGGCCAGGGGCGTGCCGACGAGCCCGGAGCCCGCCGAGAGGTCCCCGCCGGCCGCGGCCGCCACCCTCCCGGTGCACTACCGCCTCTCCAACGCCCGCCTGGCCTTCTTCCTGCGGGAGACGCGCCCGGCGCCCGGCGGCAACGGCAGCGCCGGCCTGACGCGCGCCGAGCCCTTCGTGGTGTTCCAGACCAAGGAGCTGCCGCTGCTCAACGCGTCGCTGGGCCCGCTGGGCGCGAGCCAGGCGCTGCCCCGGGAGCTGCTGCAGCCCTCGGGCGCGCTGGAGCTGGCCGAGCGCCTGACGGTCAACTGGAAGGTGCGCGCCTCCATCGTGCGCGCGCGCGTGCCCGCCAGCGAGCCCACGGCGCAGGTGCTCTTCTACGTGGCGGGCCGCGACTGGGACGACTTCGACGCGGGCGAGCGGCTGCCCTGCGTGCGCCTGCACGCCTTCCGCGAGGCCCGCGAGCTGCGCGCCGCCTGCCGCCTGCAGGGCGGCCTGGCCAGCTGCCTCGCGCAGGCCGAGCTGCCCCAGGCCTGGTTCGGGCCCGCGGCCGCGGAGCGCC